CCTTCGTTAAGGTTTTGATTTGAGATATTACCTTCAAATCTTAATATGATATTACCTTCTATCTTAATATAAGACCTTATTTGATTTTCATTTTGATTCTAAATATAAGACCACAATCTACTTTATCTCTCATATTTATTCATCTTTTCTTAAGATAGTCCTTCTAATAATAGTAGTTTTAATTAATAAATTTAATTAGTAAGGATATTTTAGAAAAGACAACACTTATTTATTATAATAACTACTTAATTTAATTTTTTTTTCAAATTCGTCAATTAGTTGTTATATTTAATACCAAACATATATATAATTTAAAAACTAGAAATAATACTTGTTATCATTTTAGTGTTCTATAAGTTATCGTATCGTTTTGGGAGGCACTCACGGAGATGAGTGATGCTTTGCTCCTCCACATCACTCTTCTATCTTATTTGGACCAGCATTCGAAATTATTTACAAACATGTCTTATAGAAATCAAATAAAATTCTTTGTACATATTTATCTCATATTTTATAAATTATTGATTAAAAAAATTTATAAATCATTTTAAACAGTCATTCATCTGTGTTTTTTCATGGCTATATGGTTGAATTTGTGTGATTTTTTTAGTTTTAGCTTTTAACCTTATCACGACTTGAGCTTTTTCGATTGGTTTTTTTGGTTGGTGTAACTTATTTTTATATCAAAATGTTTCTTGATTGTTGATAAAAAACAATGTAAGCATTGTCAACAGGGTCTTCCTGGCTGCCTCCTGCAGAACCAACTAATTATGAATGGGGACAATAATTAAAATTCAACGTAGCAGTATTTTTTTTGGACTGACATATTCAGTGTACTGTGAAGAAAAATATTTTAGATTGTTATTTGAGCCAAGAGTATACTCTTTTTTAATAAACTAATAGTACAGTAATTTATTTTATTTTTGTGTATATCAAAATGTAAATACATAAAATAAAACTTACGAGAAATTGTGCTATTTATGATCCTTTTTTTTTTTGGAGTAAATTTATGATCCATTCGGTTTCAACTTTCAATATAACCGAACACCGATCGGCGGGAAAAAATCCCATCCAAACGCCGTGAAAGCAACTTGACAGCCGGGGGGGTAATTCCACCGCGCCTCTTCTCATGATTGATGATGGTACCAAAAGAGCGAGAACGTCACAATTTCTACCACATTTGCATGATTATTTTTATGTAAAATATAAATAAGAAAATTTTATAAGTAACCGGTATAATGTTATTATTTTAATGTATTTTATTTGTTATGATAAAAAAAGTATGAGAAATTGATTATGTTAGGATATCCTCTTCCTAACCCAATGTAAAAAATTAATTATTCATCCGTTTCTAAATATAAAATCTTTATACTAAAGTTTTATATTTAAGACCGAAAGAGTATCTTTAGAATAATACTAAAAGCTGAAAATCGTTTTCAGTACTAAATTATCTCTCTCAAACTTAATCATAGGGTTTTTTTTTTTTTGCCAGAAATTTAACTATACCTTCACGATGTCTGTTACTATTTAGAATCTTCAACAAAACATGATAGCATGTTTCGAGGGAAAAAATAGGTATAAACTTTTTATTGAAAGTTAGATAATAAACACTAAAAAGAAAATCAACTTAGAGTGCAATCAATTGGGGAAAATCAAAAGACAACCAGAAGCTTTATAAAATCAAAATGGGAATGATAAGATTCTCTCCACTTGGAGCACGAAAATGAAACAATGTTTCCCAAATCCCTGCACGTCACATTAATTTGAAGCCTTGCCTTTAGGCTTTTGTCCAGATTTTTAATTTAACGGAAGATTGACAATTAAGCTGCCTAGGAAAATTCGTGGCCTCCAAAAAAACTAATGATACTGTTAAAATAAGACAGAGCGTTATCAAGTAGATCAGGACAATTTCTTTTAATTTTTTGGTAAAGCAGAGTTTTAGACGAGTTTGATCTAAGAGGTCAATAAGACCAATGCATGTTTCTGAGCTTAAATAACGCGTATAAAGATACTCATAAATCATCCATCAATAAAGTCTTCATATAACTAACAGAGGTTAGATATAGTAAAGGGACCAGTTTCTCACAATATACTCCCTCTATTCTTTATTATAAGAGACAATAACCGAATTACGTTGATCAAAAAAACAGTTAAATTAGTTAAGAACAATTAATATGTAAAAAGTATATTTTTTTTTCAAAAATACCCTCATTAATAAGGAGAGAACATGAGAGAGAACATGGTAATTTATTAAAAGAAGAGAAGTGGAAAGGAGAGAGAGTGTGAGTTGGAGACATAAATATGGGTAAAATAGGAAATCAACCAAAAAAGTAGAGACAACTTTTAAGTGTCTCTTATATATAGGACCAGCCATAAGCACAAAATGTCTCTTATAAATTATAATAAGGAACGGGAGTAATAAACTGATATTCAAATTTCTGTCAAAAGAGATGTGCACATTTAGTGCTAAACAGTGTTTTGAACATAATTGCTTTTATAAGAGAACCCTGTTTTTACCCCAAAAAAATCACATAAGTAGCTAAATTTGAACTCAACCTTATGAGTTATGAGTTGACTTTTTACTAATTAACCAACTCTTAGATGTTTGCATCAAGTTCAAAATGAACCACGCTAACAAGTTGCGAACAGACGACTTTATGCAGTCTTTTATGTTTTAATATTTTATATTTTTTTAAACCAGCATTTTATATCAATATATTGATAATTGTCATGAATTATACATAATTTGATACGCACATACATATCTTGTTCATTCTTAACGCACCAGAGACATTATAGCCTGAAAATACATGGAGAAATGCTAAAAGAATTATTAAAAAAAAGTACATGGAATTTGAAATAAATCCCATTATTTGGATATTATGCGTAACATAATAGTGATCCCCCTGTCAATTTTATATATAGATAATGTTTTATACTTTGCATTGATACTGTATCTTGTTATTTATATACTGTTCATTAAACTTTCCTCGTGAATTTCATTCTTTTAAGAATATCAATTATAAAACATTTTGATATTTATATTTTTAACTGTCCTTTTCAAATTTTTGAATTTCATTTTCCTCGTTTGAACAGTAGCCCAAATCATTGTACGTCTCACTGCCAAGTATATAATTTCCCCCACCTCGTCCTTTTTTTTAATTTTTCCTTTTCTAGTGACGCCTTCTCTTTCGCTTTCTTCTCGTGTGAGTCGTTTTGGTAAAATTAAAAAAAAAAATGGCGAATCCCCTGAAAATGACCAGAAACATTATGTGTCACAGTCACTCTGTCCGAATTATACTACAGGACGAAGCAGAGCCAAAAAAAACTCCCAAGTTTTCAACGATCATCAACCCAATGCTTATTATTTCCCCACTTCTTCATCATTCATCCTTATTGCTTTTTCCATCCTCATTTCCCATTATCTTCTTTGCTTTTTCCCCCCTTTTCATAAAACCATCCTTCTTTAATGCATCATTATGTCTGATTTAAATCATAAGTAATCATACGCAGCCACTAATCTTGAATTTTATGGCACTTAGTCCCCAGCACTTCACAATTCTTTAACATTTTTCACCATATCACCTTCAAACAAAATATAATGGTTACTGCTCACCATCTTGCTCAGGCACACTCAATTTTTATATTCATGCGTATGAATATGTTTTTCAGATTATTTCTTGATTTGTGCGTGTAATCTTTGTGCAGAACTATGTTATTATTATCACCTGCATGGTTCAAACGTCATGGGATATTCTAAAAAAAACTATGCATATCTTTTTTTTAAAAAAATTTAATCAAAGTATTCCTAAATCACTTGATTTTAGCGTAAAAATTTTTCATCTCTTTCGTGTTTTTGAAATTTGAACTCAGATTATTCTCCTTACAAATATAAGATTGCTTATCACCTTATCTAATTAGGCGTATGAATGTTTTATGAGTCATAAAAAGCCTAAAACATAAGTTGCGTTGTTGATAATTTATAATTGAAATAATTTGTTATAAATTTGTGTGAGGATAGAAGATGGAGATTTGGATGAAGGTGGACAAGCGTCAAGGGGTGGGGGAGGATATGATACTTTAGGGGGTATGCATGATATGAATATCCTTACAAATAAAAAGTGACAGGAAATTAAAAAAAGAATAGTTTTGTAAAGTCACAGCTTACCACATGACCTGCTTCTCTGTATAACTGACAAACAATGAAGTCATGCACATAAATTAAACCAAGTCTTGAAATTAAGACTTGCGTCCTTGCTTTCTCTCTTTCTTATTTCCTTGCCACCAGTACACTCCGCTTCCCCTGCAGTCACTCTCTCTCTCTTCTTTTCCCTAGAACGCTCCCACGCTGCAGATTTTTTGGGAGTGAAAAATATTTCATCTTTAATAGCACTCTCCTAGCTGAGCCACCTCAACTTGTTACTCCTCACTACCTAAGCAATCCGTACTTGTTTTTTCTTATTATCATCACAAATCCAGCGAAACCCAGAAGCCTTTGAGATTCATAGACCCTTTCCTTTCCTCTGCTATCTGTTGATATTGACAAGCTCCAAAAGATTTCATTTTTTGCACTAATCTGCCTGAACAAGCTCTCCACAAATCTCTACACTGTTGCTATAATCTGTACTTGTCTTCTTTCTCTGTTTTTTTCCCCATTCTTACATGCCCAGAAAAAACCAGAAGCTTAGAGTGTATGAGCTTTTCTGGGGCCCTTTTGCTTGATAGTTGATATCGACAAGTTCCAATGCACTCAGAACCTCTCTGACCATCAAATGAGTTTTTGGGTATCTCTCATCTCTTTCTCTTGGGGGGTGGAGAGTGAATGGGGTGTATGTTGTCTCAGTTAGCGGCGAAATTTGCCTTCTTTCCGCCGTCTCCTCCGACGTACCAGCTCAAGAAGCGAGATGACGGCAAGCTCACGGTGGTATCACCCTCGTCGCCGGCGGTGTCTATTTCTCACGCCGACGACAATTCCTTGGACGTTTTGTTGGTCGACACGAAACATGGGAACAAGATTGTAGCTTTTTATCTGAGGAACCCATACGCTCGCCTCACTCTGCTCTACTCTCATGGCAATGCTGCTGATTTGGGTCAACTCTACGACCTATTCGTGCAACTCAAGGTCAATCTTAGAGTTAATCTCATGGGGTTAGTGGTTTTTTCTATTTCTTCATCAAACAAGCATAAAAAAGTGTTTCAAGCTCATTCATTTGATGATTTTAGAAATGAGTTCCGTCTCACTTAAGAGTTCAGAGACATCACGTTGTTGTTGACCCTTACTTTGTATCATTAGGGGACTGTACCGCAATAAGTATGAAATATGTTTGTTTTTAATTGGGTTGGTGTTGGTTTTGTCGTGCTTCGATTTGAAACCATGAATTAAGTATAGCAATATGTTTCTGATTGATGACTTATCCTGGGCTTAGTAGATCTGATGAATGACTGTACCCGAAATGCAAATGTCAATGCCTTTTCCAACTTTTCAAGCAAAGGGTTAAACCGAGAAAGTAAAAGAAGTGCGTTTTGGCCTAACGATGAAAAGAAAAAAGCAAAGTTAACAACAAAAAAGTTTAGTTGTTTTGTAGCTCCTCGTCAGTCCGTAAAGACTAAAGAGCCTCCCTTTTTTATGTTTTATGTTTTATGTTTTATTTTTTCTGAGTTTCTGCATTTATTTGGCCGCCTTTCTACTCTGCATAAAGTAAGCAAAGTTTTTAGCGCTGCATAGATGTGGACATTGCCTGGCCCCGTCTTTGGTGTTTTGGCTTCATTTTCCTCCGTTCATTTTTTGGTTGGGAAAAAAAAAAAAAACTCGCTGGCTGGGCTTAATAAATTCAATCAAGTTTAATTCGTAGTTTCACTTTCACTTAAGTTATCTCAAATCTAAACGTTTGATGCAATTTAATCCCATTTGCTTAACTTTTTCCCCTTTTTTGGGTCTATTAAGAGTGAGATTGATTACTCACTAGAGCCTGAGCTTCGGTTGAACGGGCAATATTACTAGTTGCTCTGCCAACTTCTGGATCAAACGTGAAGCTGATATTTCCCTCTGATTTTATTTTTATTTTTATTTTTGCAGATATGACTATTCTGGCTATGGGGCTTCTACTGGGAAGGTACCTTTTGATTTAAGTTTCTTTTCCTCGGATGTTACATTAATAAGAGCAGTTTGTACTGACGTGCATGGGCTCCTTTTATTCCTTTAGACCACTTTTCACATTTCTTCTGCTGAGTCTGACTCAAAATATAGTTTTATCTCTGTTGCTTGATGAGAAATTTAATGGATGTCATGTTACGTCATTGATTTGTAATACTAGTGTTTTCAAAATCTGCAGCCTAGTGAATCCAATACATATGCTGACATTGAGGCAATATATGAATGCCTTGAGACCCAATATGGAGTGAGCCAAGAAGACTTAATCTTGTATGGACAATCAGTGGGAAGTGGGCCAACTCTGCACTTGGCATCTAAACTGCCAAGGTTGAGAGGTGTCGTTCTACATAGTGGCATTCTTTCTGGACTCCGTGTGCTCTGCCATGTGAAGTTCACACTTTGCTTTGATATATACAAGGTAAATATACGAGAATACTACTGTCTCAAATGGGAATGTCTAACTTAGGGACTTCATTTACGTTGTACTTGAAGAATACCGAATTTTACTGTAAATGTTTGCTTTTGGTTTCTTCATCATGTACTATGATCCGTAAACCATCATTTCCTAACCTGTGCAGAACATAAACAAAATAAAGAAGGTGAAGTCTCCAGTACTGGTGATACATGTAAGTATATGATGCTCTTATGATTCAGAGCTTATCTTACTCTGCATTCAATTGAGCTTCATACTACCTCCAGTTTTTAATATAAATGTTAGATAACAAATTTGGAGATATTAAGAAAATTAGTTAAGTTAGTTATTTGTCACAAATGTGTACTGATTTTCCTAAGTTATACTCTTTATTCATGTGTATTGGATCAATAGAATTGTCCATTTGTGGGAATCTTTTACAATTAATAGAGATATTTTGGGGTAAGATGGAAACAAAGTGGATTGAAGTCTTATGTTTAGGACCTAATTCAACGCCCAACTGACTCTTATATTAAGGACCAGAGGTAGTAGTATGTATTTGTCATATGGTGCATCACAAGCTGTTATCTTTTGAAATCAGACTATTTGAAGGGTGTCAGTTGTGAAAGATTACGAGATGAGGAAAACAGAGTGCTGGGGAATATGCAAGACAAACTGTGAAACTCACATTTCATGTGCTTTGTTCAAATCTTCATGCATGGAATTTTATGAACATTGTTATTTGATATCCAGAGTTTAACAGAAGAAACGTGATCGTAAAAATATACCTTTGGTCGTTGGTAATTGAAGGTGAAAAATGAGCAATCAAGAACCCAGGCAAATGTTAAATCCACTGAACAAACAAAACAAGGGGAGTTTTTCTGACATGGAGAGAAGGGAATAGGACACCATCTTAGTCAGGAATCTGAATTGCGTGACAAAACATGAATCCGCCACTGATAAATTAATTTCTTGGCCTGGATTTATTTTGGACAATAACAACTTACTCATTCTTAAAACTGCCCATGGTAGAATCGTAAATTAGTGGAAGATGAGGACCGCTATTGTTTTTAAACCAAAATGTCAATATAACAGCAGAGGAATATTCTAATGTGTTGGAGATTCCTCATGTAGGCGAACTTGTTTTCTGATATTTTGATTAAGGGCAATATTCAGTCTAATTTACTAGTTGCTTCAATTGGTAGTTCGAGTTCTATGTTATGTTTTCCATCAAATGCCCATGTAGATTTATGATCTTCATTTAATATTGTAAATTGAAGTTTCCTGGGCTTTTAAACTTCCACTTGGTCTAGATTACTGGAATTTTGGGATGTCATTTTGGAAGTCTGTTAAATCGCCATGTTAAAGCTTATCAACTGAATATCAAGATCAGAGTATGGTTCCCTTTATTCTAGGAGTCCAGACCCCCTGTTTATTAAATTCTTTAATGATCACGGAAATTCTAATTGAGAGTTCATACACAATCATATGATAAAACAACAATCTCCCTCTGTTAGTGTACCATCTCTGTGCTCCTGGGAATTGGACAGTCTTGGAGAGTTTCTTCCACAAAATTTCATGGTTATTTACCGAGCATATATCTGTCACACTTTCTCAGTCCACGTTGAATATGCTCTGAAGAAACCTCTCACCACTTACATTGATTATATAGTTTCTTGGTGTGTGCTGTGTATATACAGGGCACAGAAGATGATGTGGTCAATTGGTTACATGGCAATGGATTGTGGAAAATGGCAATGGAACCCTATGAACCGTTGTGGATCAAAGGAGGCGGACACTGCAACTTGGAGCTTTACCCTGATTACATTCGCCATCTCTGCGGATTTGTTCAAGAAATGGAGAGCATGACAACAGAGAAGCGCCTCAAAAAAATCAGGCAAAGCATCGATCTGCAATCAAGATCTACCTATGGCTCCACCTGCAGATGCTGCGGAATGAACTGCTGTAGATTGAAATGTCCAGAATGCTCAGATTGTAGCTGCATAAAATGCTCCTGCTCCTTCAATTGTCTTGCATGCTGCAGAAGACCAAGTTGCTCCAAATGTTGCCAAGTACCCAAAATAAGCTGCTCCAACTGTTGCCAACTACCCAAAATGAGCTGCTCCAAGTGCTGCCAACTACCCAAAACAAGCTGCTGCAAGTGCTGCCAACTCCCCAAAATAAGCTGCTCCAAGTGTTGCCAATTACCCAAAATAAGCTGCTCCAAGTGTTGCCAATTACCCAAAACAAGTTGCTTCAAGTGTTGCCAATTACCCAAAATAAGCTGCTCCAAGTGTTGTCAATTACCCAAAATAAGCTGCTCCAAGTGTTGTCAATTACCCAAAATAAGCTGCTTTAACTGCTGCCAATTACCCAAGTTCTCAAATTGTTTGGGCACAAAATGCTGGAGACCAAGCTGTTGTTGTTGTGGGGAAGGTTCATCAACTGTCTGCTATCCAAATTGTCCAAGGCCAAGGTGCTGCTGGAGCATGAGATGTTTCTGTTGGCAGTGTTGTGTGGGAAAACGTGGTGGAAAATAGAATGGTTAATGGTGGTTTCATGATTTGATTTGTATAGAGGACAAGCCTTGCTTGCTAACAATCTTCAATACTCTCCAGCAATGTACAAAACAAGTCAGGTCGGGAAGGAATGACAATTGTAGAAAAATCATATGTCCTCTATTTTGTTTCTTTTTAATCAGTAGTTCTGATAAATTATTGGGGATTTTTATCTCTTTAGAAACTTGATGTTTCTCTTGTATTACCGGCAGCTGATGAATGACCTGATTGTTTCTTCCGATTTGTAGCCATTTTACGAGATCTTGAGAACTTGTCCGTTTCATCATTTTCATTTTCTGCAGCTGAGTATAATGATTTAATATGGTCGCAACTGGAAAGTAGACAATTTTTTCAGTGTGTCTGCTATTGCTGTGAAGTACTTCTTGGTATTTTTAACTACTGACTTTTAAATATAAGAGCTAGTTAGTCAGTTTTAAATGTAAAACCTAAATTTATTTTGTTTTCTAAATTTTTAATATGTTTTCAAAAACATTCTTATTGATTATAAAGTGTTTTCATTCAAGTATAGTTTCAATGTATATAATTAAATCAATGGTAATTTAAGAAAGTCAACATATATTTTTTACAAGTAATTAATTTAACTAATTTTTTTAATTTTTTTAAATCAGTTATCTAACGCTTATATTAAATATTCAGAGGTAGTATAAGAGTTCGTTTGTAGTGCTACTTCCTTCTATGTTTATGACTGGAGGCAGTATAAGATTATAAGATTTAATTAACTACTGCTAATTCATAGTAATTATTAAATTAGTCAAATTGGTTATTTATAATTGTTATGTAAAAAGTGTCATTTTTAAATATTTATTTTAATTAAAAATATTAAATGTGAAAGGCAATTATAGTGAGCAAATAAGGAAAAAAGATAAACCAAGAGACAATATAAATATTCTTGTAAACTACAATTAACTTTTATATTTTATATTTGAGACCGAGTAGTTTTCTTCTAAATATTTTTTAATTATTTAAATTTGACAACGAATTTTTAAATTTATGGCACTTAAATTAGTTTTCTAAATATATTTTATATTTAAATTGTTAAATTTATGGCTACGATTTTTGATTGGTTATTATTTTATTGACAATGAAAGTAATTATTTGCACATAATTTCATATTCACAACAGAGAAATCACGACATTTCAAAAAACAATTTTTACCCATAATAAAATTTAAAATTTTTGTAGAATTTGCCCACAACTAAATAAAAATCACTAACCAACCAATCAAATTATTATAAATCATGAATAGAAAAATAATTAAAATAGAATCAATGAGAAGGGTTAAATATCAGACGATAAACTGTCCATGCCATCGCACAATAACAGCATTTTACTCTTCAAACTCGTATATTAGAAGCCACTATATGCCGTACATTGTGGGTACAAATTCTCTTCATTCTATGGACTATGGAGCCTCAAAACGTAGGCTTCCGTAGGCGCATCACTTTTAATCTGTCGAGTTGATATTAATACTTCTATTGGCTCATTATCACATAATGTACAAATCGGAGTGATGTTCACTGTCGTGCAAAACTTGACAAAGCTCACTTTTGGTCTGTTTCCTCAAATCTGACGAGCATTTGTATTGTTTTCGAGCCCTTTCTCTTATCTCATTCTAACGCCTTGGAAGCTGCTTCAACAGCTTGATTAGCTCATATGTCCTCAAGTCTTGACCAGAATGTAGGCAAAGGTCAAGTGGAGTTAAACCATCCTGAGATAAATGCAAAGCTTTCATTAATTTACATCCTCTATATTAAGCATGAAATCAGTGACCTGTCCCCTAACTCTGAATAGACAAAGAATGACCAGATGAACGTATGGAACTTGCTTTCTAGATTTTCACTTACTCCCATCTCTCTCTCTCTCACTCCCTTACTCACTTCACAGTCTTCATTTGGAAAGATGGAAGATCTAGGGATGCTTTGCAAACAATGATTGAGGATAATCGCAAAGAGTTACCTTGTTTTTTATTGTCTTGTCAGCACCTTTAATAAGTAGAAGCCTCACTACATCCGTTCTTCGGGCTTGAACAGCGACATGTAAGGGTGTCCACCCATCCTGACAGAGCAAATCATTGAAGTTCTCAAACAGCTCATGCAAATGAATAATGCTAAACTAAATAGGAAAAAGAATTAACCACACATTGTCCTGAAGATTTATATCAACATTATATAGTAGAAGGATTTTAATCGTCTGGCTGGAAGCCGTCTGTACAGCATAATGCATCAAGGTTGCCCCCTCCTGTTTTTCAGTGCACATGCAACGAGGTGGGTGCACAAAAATGTTAGTGATGGCCAAATAAATATCTCATAACCAGGGCTGAGAATAAAACTATGTATTAATATCTCCTAGAAACAATCCAATAGCACCATTACTACGATATTTTTTGAAGGGACAACAAAGGAACAGAGGTTTGAATATGAGCTTCCAAGGAAAATATCTTAAGCGCTCACTGGTAATATCCCTCCCCAATTGCCTTGGAACAGAGTGAACCATGCAAGTGGTGTTGTGTTCATATCTGTAAGTAGATGTGTAGAAAGGATAAGCAGTTGAGTGCAGGGTAAATTACTCACTTTATCAAGTATGAATGGATTGGCTGAATTTCTCAGAAGGTAGTTGGTTATGGCCTGCTTTTTACCAATTATGGCCTTGTGAAGAGCAGTCAAACCATCCTGAAAACAAGTAAACCAGAAAATATATTTATATATATCTTATATATATAAATATATTATAAGAAGAACATTCGCATGTTTAACCTCCCAACATGGAAATTGACAATTATATACCTTATCAACAGCATTGATATCAACATTATGTTTCAACAAAGAATCTACAAGGTAAAATTCTCCGGATGCAGCAAGAGTGTGCAGAGGCAGCCATTTCTCCTGAAAATGATTTCGGAATTGGTTACAGAAGAAAACCAAAAGGCCACTGAACTTATTCACCAAAAGAACTACGTATAAGCAAAGAAGCATCATTACTTTCCTGTCGCCTTTGTTTTAACCATAAAATCTTGCAACTGCGGTTCTTATTCTCAAGAAATCCAGATCAGTAAGAATTATAATCAAGACACTGGGAACTTTTCTAATAATTCAAGTAAAAAACCAGAATATACTAAACTGATAAGAGAATTAGAAAGAGAAGAGGCAACAGTAAGCATTCATTAGACAAAGAAAACTCACAGAAGTAGCGGCCGCCAAATTTGGAATCCGCTTATTCAATAAAGCCTTCTCCTCCTTCGTAAACAACTTACGACGGCCTATTCATTCAAGCATAAAAGAATAAAGATGGCGGTCTCAATATGTAAGTCACGTAAATACAGGAGGAGCTTAAATTAAAAGACCATTATGAGCTCAATTTGGCAATTTAACATATCAGTTAAAAATTGCAGTTCAGGAAGAAGTACAACCACAGTTTGATTCAACATACGGCGAAGCATTAAACAAAAATTTTGTTTTTCCAAAACACTCACACATTAAGTCAATAACTGCAATAAGATCATCGCCCGCTATCACAATTCACAAACCAGCAGTTGAATCAAACAAAAAGGCTCAAACGAAAGATTGAAAGAGACGGAATACCTTGACCTTCGGTATTCTTTTTGGTAGGGTCGTACATCTCACTATTGAAAAACTCTGAAACGTCCTCCAAACCCCTGCCGTAAACTGCCCACCTAGGATTCTTAGGCTTTACGCGTTCACTAGCAGACTCATTAGTCACACCAAATTCTCTTCCAGCGGGAACCTCCTCCTTCACCGGAAAACTTGAAGGGCTGTCAAGAACCAAGGGCTTCAGCTGAGCCAATTTGGCCTCCTTGTACGCCTTATATCCTTCCAGGTTCATATGCCTCAGGGGAATCATCCCTTGTTTCTTCTTCTCGACCCTGCTATTGAATTCAATTTCCTGAGCAATCTTGCGCCTCTCTTTCTTCGTGATGTTGATCTCCGCCTGAGCTTCCCTCCATCGGTCGGGGACCAAATTCTCAGGTGCAATCTCCGGGACATTTTTCTTCGATTTAGGCTTGGAATTTTCTGAGCCGGAATCATCTATGCTCAAGTTTTCATGAAGAACTGGGTCTTCGAATATGCCGTCTTCGAAGACAACACAATCGCCAATAACATGTTCTTCCAAGTCGTCAACCGGTGCCTCATCGGAGGACTGAAAAGCTAGTCGCGGAGAAGGAAGCTTCCTCGGAAATTTCACAATCCGAAAAGAACAAAAATTGGGTTGAGAAGCAGAGGAAGGGAAAATGGGAAGAGGATAGAGGATTTTGTAAGCTTGAGGATTCAGCAGAGACGAGGAGGAAGGCGACATGGCCTCTTGTTCGAGCTCGCTGAAGCAGCAAATCTTGGAGCCGATAGAATTTTATTTTGGGCTAACGAAGTCCTCAATCACTCTGAGCCCATGTCTGTTTCTAGGCCCAATTACGAGCTTCTCCGTTGGGTTTGGTTCAATAGTGCTTTGTTATCCATGTCCATTGATTTTAAGTGGTCCAATGGTAAAAGAGGGGAATATTGAATTAAGAAATAAACTCCCGGACTTTTTATTTGATGATGTAAGAAGACCAAATTTGGGATAAAGGCCAGGTGGAAAATGAAGATTTCCTATGAAAAAAATTAAATTAGTTATCGATAAAAATATATTAATTTCTCTAAAATGCATGTAATCAATAGCGGGTTTAAGGAAAAAATTATAAATTTGGGAGGCAAAGCAAATTGGTAGCTTATATTTATGACTAAAGTAGACCCCTCTAATTATTTTTGTATTAAGATCGGATGGAGTAATATTTTCTGTGAAAGAACAATTCAGTTGAGACTCTTGCAAAGGGGTGACATTGGAATAATTTTGTTACGGACGGCAATTGAGATGGAATTGACTTCCTGTTTTGACATTGATGAAAGGTAGGCAGGTGTCATCGCGTGAAGTTGAAGACATTAGCCTAGTAATTGATCTATTGGGCGTTCATATTGGTGATGCAATTATAGCAGAATGACTTCAAAACAGTACAGAATTCAATTCATTTATTTGCTTTCAAAATAACTATAATTTAAATAAATTAAGCGTGCGCGTGCGCGTGAAATAAGACTATTTTCACGTAAATTAACGATGTAGCTGATTTTTTTTTTTAAGAAAAAAATATGGAGAAGGGATATGATGTGATTTAATTAGCCCAAAAAAAAAAAAGTAAACAAGTCAAATGAAAATGATCGGGCAGGCATTTGCAAGCTTCCAAACAGTGATTTTAAATTTGGTTGGTTCGGTTCGTGCCCATTCACATCTAAAAATAATAAAACAGCATTCAATATATCGACATGTTGAAATAAAAATGAATGAATTTCGTTTTCGATGATGTTATGAGTGGAAAATTGAAACATGCTACTAGACTTGGTCAACGTGGCCTTGTGACTTCTCGTTCAACGTCAGCCCCATTGCTGACATGCCGCTCTAAAATTAATACATCGACGTGAGAGGCCCGTAAGGTCAATAATCCAAATCTGATCAAAGGGAATGTTTATACTCTAGTTATTAGCTTGTTTGATATAAATACTACTCGTCCGGTCCTTGATGTATGACTTTATTTAAGAGTTAATATTAGTTATATATATAAGATTTATTTTACATGTTTATCAATTTTTTTAAAAATTAATCCCATTAATATTCCATCGATAATAATCAAGTAAAAGAAGGAGGGAGAGAATTAAGAAAAATGATTAGGGTATTTTAAAAAAAAAATTACATTAACTAATTTAACTAACATCTTTAATCCACTCAAATTATTTAATTAGGTCTTACTGGAAGAGCATATTTAAAATATATTACACACCCTTTTTAAGATATAATTAGGAACACATTGAGTCAGATTTGTAAATCAAGTAACTCTCATTGGACGAGCATCAATAGTACAAGATATCAAAGTATAGCGTCACATACCTTTGAATTAACTTATTTTAAGTAATTTTGTGACGATTCGCATGAGTAAAATATACAATTTTTTTTTTCCCTGATGAGTTAGTCTGTATTCTCAGCTGTATTGGAGCGTTGAACATGAATTAGGTTGGTTAGGGAAGGGGCATATTTGGATGCTGATATTGAAGACTGGTTCACAAACCTAATGATACCCAGCACTTTGCTGAGGCTGATTTGTTACTGAGTTCTGAATCCTAGGTGCCCGGTTCTGTTGCAATGGCCATCTAATTTGATTTGAACCATAATTGAGGTTTCACTGTAATTGACATTGATGGACGGTGGGTGAGTGGAGGGTGGGGACGTCAATTACTACCATATTCGCACTGGTGATGATTGATGAATGTGACAATGCCGGCATCACATTGACACACAGACAAAACACTATGATTTTAATCAAAGCCCAAATCTATGCAGCCTCGGAATGAATTCATGATACATAGGAGAGTGGGCATCCAATCCAATTATTATTATTATTATTATATTAACTGAAAAGAATGATGTTACTAAGGTTGACCCCTCCCCCCCCCCCCCAAAATGCTGGGGTAATGTTCCTTCTTTGCCCAATCATCAGCCTTGAAAGTTTATGAGCCTCTCATATTCACCATTTTCATCCACATCCTCCTCTCTATTTTCTTTTTGCTAATAATATTTATGTACCTGAACGAGGGCTTACTTATTAGATGTTATCTATAAATTCTTAATATCAAAACCAGTTAATTAATTTAAGTTAATTAAAAAAACTAGTTAAATTTGTTATTTGTAATAAATATATGTTATCTTTTTTAAAATATTCTTGCTAATCAAATATATTGGATAGAACTGTCGTTATTACAAAGATTTTATTGACAAAAATAGATAAATATAAGAAATAAAGTGAATTGATGTGTTATATTTAGGGCTAAAATAAAAATGAAATAATTTTTTATATTAAGATATTTTAGTATTCAAGTAAATAATATGAGTATGTTCACAGTTATTTTTAATTTATTTTTACCAAGTGGCAAGGGACAGAATAAACTGAGATGGAAGGCAATGTCGTGTTGTGGGTGGAGGGGGAGAGAGGGAGAGAGGGAGAGAGGGAGAGAGAGACAGAGAGCAATAATTACGGCGAAGCAGGAGCAGCACATGCCGGTTCGGAGCCCGTGAAGGAGGAGCGGTGGAGCCCACACGGTGGACGTGGGGCCAACCCACACCAACATGCCCCCCTCAATCTTCGTGCTCAGAATTGGAGGCATGTGCCCACGTGGACCTTCTCATGTGAATCCCACATTCTCACTTTTTTCTTCTTCTTTTTTGCCTAGTATTAAAAACCCGATGGGTTTAGTGCGTTAACCAGGTTATTTTTTAAAAATTCTTTTAAAGCTAAAATTTTTTTAATTAAGGACTAAAAGATTATAGATAGAAATATTTTACTGCCATAAATTTATTTTAATATTTTTCTTGTATTTAGTTATTTTAATAATATAATACTATGATGTTAATTTGTCAAGAAAATTATAGGAAAAATAAAAAGAAAATATAAGTATATAATTATTTTATCAAAAATTTAAGGTATCAAATTGATATTTATTTTATTTAGTCTTTTGGATGGCATAATGAAAATTTAAATTAATTTTTAATTTTTTTATTTCTCACCGTTTTGATTTCATTTGATTCACTAACTTTTAATCTACCACTTCGTTCTCATCACCTTTTCATATCACCTCTTTTTTTTTTTTCCCTTTTCAAATTAATATACTGCTATCTTCTTTAAAGAGTTACTTTCATATTCAATTTGATCCTAAATATAATATTCTAATACAATTTATTTCTTATACTTATTTATTTTTTAAAATAATCCTTGTAATAGTTGTACATCTTAAATGTTTCATTAAATGATAGTTTTAACTAAGTAACTAATGCACATGATTAGTAAAGGTATTCTAAAAAAGATAACGCATATTTATTACAAATAACAAACGTAATAAATTTTAATATATTCAAATTAATCAACTAGTTTTTATATTAAGAAAGAAAGGTACTCATTCGGTTCTTGATATAAGACCTATTTAACTAATTTGATTAAATTAAAAATGATAGGTAAGTTAATTAATTATAAGACATATGATATATTTTTCTTAAAACACTATAATTATTTTTTCTAATATCTTTCCTCCCTCTCCTACTTGATTGTAGTTGAAAAAGTATCAGCAAAAATAATTAAAAAAAATCATAAATATAAAAAATTAGTCTTAATGTCTTATATTTAGTATTAAAATTAACTCAATAATTAAGTTTTATATTAAATATCGGAGGAATAGTAATAGATACCAATGAATCACGAGAGGGTTTAAAAATAGTGTATACATACATTTTTCGGAATCCCATGTGCATTCTGGCACGGGACAATCACCAGTTTTTGACCCGTGGTACTGTCTTAATTAGACCTAGTTACTCTTTTAGTCTTTTAATTAATACAACCTACCATCCCATTTCTTTATATATGTTCTTTTTCTCACATCACGCCCACATGTGTGCGCGTCCAAACCCTTCCTACCTTCTTTCTAACACGCTTGTTTCTGTTTACACCAACACGTTTGGCAGCAGGAATTATTTAGAAATTCAATTCATGTTATTATAATTTGCTTTTTTTTAACGATAATTGGTGATTTTCTTATTAAAAAATCTCTTGAAAATTCCTCAACAGGACACAATAATTTTATTTAGATTTCCCCCTATTTCTTTATAAATACTGTGACCCCCACACACGTACACACACCACGCCATTATACACACAAAATATAACACGAGCACACGATAAAAAAGAAAAAGAAAAGATGTGATCATTTTTTTTTTTGCCGGCAAATTAAATAACGTGTATGAAAAAGGAGGTGTCAAATTAATAATAATTAAATAATGAATATAGAATAAAATTATGAGTAGTCAGTTAAAGGATGACGTGAGCGTTAGATAACAGGGTTTGGTTAGGCTGCGTATGGGACTGCCAACTGAACGTCCGCGTTCCAGCTTTCAAGTGAACACAGATGTTGATTTCTGCTGCCAGCTATCATCCACAACTTTCCCACAGTGCTAAGCCATCCCAAGCACTATAGGCAACATGTCACTATTTTCTTTAAATATTAAAAAAAACCTTAAATAAAATATATTCTCTATATTTGTCAAAGTGAAGACCCACAATTGATCCTCTGGCTGCGTATGTTTACTTGGATTCCTTGTATTTGTTGTTTACACATAACATATACTAATTTGAATAAATTAAAAAAATTAATTTAGTTAATTATTTATAATAAATATATGTTGTCTTTTTAAAAATATCTTCATTAATCAAGTGTATTAGTTAAAATTATCATTACTGTAAGGATTGCCTTGAAAATAA